CACCCTTTATTGAGAACTGTGGGACAAAAGTAAAATTATGCACTCTACTTTAGGCAAGGCAAGGCAAGGCAAGGCAAGTTTATTTATATAGCACATTTCATACACAATGGCAATTCAAAGTGCTTTACATAGAAGAAATTAAAATAATCAAAATAAATCAGAATAATTAAAACAGTTTAGAATAAAAAATAAGAAATAATGAAAAATAAAATACAGTAAATTAAAACTATTTAGAATAAAATGAAGTGCAGTAACAGTCGGACGAACAGTGGCACAGTGCTCATTCAGTAAATGCACAACTATATTACTTTAGCCAACTATATTAAAATTATTTTTTCTAAATCAAATTAACTCATATTCTGTTTCATTGCAAAAAAGAAGAGTTAAAATACAAAGACAAATTTCCTATTCATAGAATAAGGTTTTCCAAGAATTCTGATTTGGTCCACTTCCATATGTGGTCCTAAATCCGGTACAGGTCAGATGTTTTGCCACTTTCAAGTCAAGTGGCATGTTATCTATACACATTTTGAGCTATCCACATGTATGCGTGTATGTCTACGGCGTTAAATGTTCGCGTGATTCCGCGTGTATGTACACGCCGTTAAATGTTCGAGCGAAACAAAGCAACATGTAGATCAGGGCTATTCAATTAGCTTCATTCGAGGGCCGCATTATTAAATCGAAAAGTTGAGCTGGGCCGGTGGGTTTGGCTTATTTATTGAAACATAACAGTATCATTAAGTAAGCTAAAGTAAACAAAAAAAAAATGGTTTTGCATTTAAAAGGAAATGTGGTACTCAACAGTATGCAGACCATAATAAATAACTTTTTTACAGCTATATACAAATATATTGAATTATACAATATCATAGCTATTGGCTATTGGTAAGAATTATTTTATTAATAATTATTAAAGGCTTAAATTAAAATATCCTGACAGTGAGACTTGTGGCTCACTACTGTATAAAAATGCCTAAATAGGTAAACAATTATACACACAATGAATTATATATTCCTCTACCCCCCTAATAAATCTAATGCAAAATAAATGACTATTACATAGTATTCAATATAAATATTCCACATTTCTGCCCAAACCATGGTAAATTATTACATTCATAGTAAATGTTTGTAAGGGTGGTGATTATGGCATTTATACTAGCTTCTAACTTTGTTCATGTTTCTGCTATTTACCTCATCAATAGTGTTGCGAATGTTAAGGCTGTTTCATCCGATTTAAAACTAGATAAAATCATTGAGGGATTTGTGGTTTGTAACAGAGAGGAGTGTCGATTGAAACGCTTCTCAATGGATGTCGAAACGCTGTTTAATAATAGTATCCGGGACCGGGAGTAAACGCAACTCCTTTAAGCTTGCGTTCCGTTATCCACTGGACCGTGCTGCCTAGTTCAAAGTAAACTAGTGAAACAACTGAAACCAGCACTATTTTGTTCTCTATTTGTTCTTACTGACCGAGAAACCGCTTAAGATGATTCAGTGACAGAAAGGTCCGAACGAATCCGAATCGTTTCCGACCGTTATGCACGCACGTTTGGCCAATTTATGAAAAGGAAATAGGAATCGATCCAACGAATGATTAATATCGCTGGTTCAGTCGACAGAAATACGGGACGCACTGCTGAAATATTCGGACTGAAAACGTTTCTCTCAGGTCAGTCGGAGCGCTCATGGTACACACACAGTGCGTATAGTCATCCAGCTGCACGCGCCACTGCGGCCACGCGCAAATCAAACCAAATTTAGCCACACCACCAGAAAATAGGAGGGGGAGGTTGGAGTGCTTTCGGGCCGCATGGAGATGATTGGCGGGCCGCACTTGGCCCGCGGGCCGCCAATTGAATAGCCCTGATGTAGATCTACATCTGGGGAGCGATATTTTTTTTTTCTTAGGATGATAGGGGAAGACTCATATATGCTATTAACCCCAGTGACGGGTAGGTTTAGGGATGTGGTTGGGGTAGGTCATATACAGTATTTATATGTACAGTAATGTAACGTTAAGTCAACAGCGTTCATAAACACGCTGAAAAGCGATTATGCGTGTTTATAGCACTGCAAAAATGGAAATACGAATTGGCGTGTCATACAAACGCCATATCATGAGATCAGTCTGAAACAGTAGTAAATAATGGCAGAATTTTTTTTTTTTAATTTTGTGTAAATGATTCTATTAAATGGGCCATGTGATAGTGTCACATTGGGATGGTTTATCTCACTGTCCATGGTGTTTTTGAGATCCTTCAGGCAGTTTGGCTTCTGGACACAATGGACAGGAGGGCCCCAGCAGGACTGTTAATCATCACACTGAACAAGAACACTGAACGAACGTACTAATGAGACACCAAGGTCACTGTCTGTCGTGCATGAGGAGTGATTCCCAGCAGCTGTGATACATTAAAGAGGTAGTGTCTCACACTGATAGTTCGCAAGCATATTAAATAGACCTTTCAAGCTAACATCTATTATGGCCTACATGTTTAACTGTAACTTAACAGTACATTTTATAATGACACTAGCTTGAAATAACATGATTTAACTACGTGTTCAACCTATAGAATAAAAGTCAGTTGTCAGATTCAGATTTTATGGTTGAAGGTGTTAAAAATATATACTAAATATATATATATATTTAAGCTGTGGATAGGGATAGGGATGTCTATGGATAGGGTTGCTCTAGGAACAACAAATGATGTTCATTCAGGATCAAATCATGTCAGGCACAGAAAGTGAAAAAAAATGACATATCAGAACATATTTTATGTTTTATGTAGAATGGAGAGAGATTTTAGACCAATGGATATTCAATAGAGGTGGGACTGCCAAAAATAATGCTGAAGAAATAGAAAACAAGCAGCTGACTAACTACAGTCAAGGCCAGTTTGGATAAAAAACATGGAAAACATTTTAACGTTCGCTGGTTCGTCTTGTTTGGCCTTGTTCATACACTATGTAATACACACAAAACAAATACACCTCTATTCCAAAGCTCCAAACTCACAGACAAGGGTCTACCTGAACCAAGAGTAGATCAATCCCCATTCATCAAGAAACCCAACAGCGTTGGTGGTCTACATTATTTACATGCCCTCTATTTCGTTAGACCTGTGCTTTTTTTTTTTAGTCTCCTTCCACAACCCCTTCCTGTCTCAAATGTGCCAAAATGACAGAGTGCAATAAAGGAGCACGGTGGCACAGTACGAACCAATCCCATCAGTGCATGACTTTAATTACCAGGCCACCGGTTTGGCATAATGGGGAAAAGGTGGATATGTAAAAGACTTTCATAATTCATCCAACTTTTTTAATTTAAAACTTTTCCACATTCCTTCATTTTCTTCTTCAGCTCATTTCTCTGAAGCATGCCCAATAATTTCCTTTTAACAAAAAAACATTTGCATAAGCGAAATTATCTGCGCCCAGCGTGTCACACAAAGAATGAGCTGAGCACAGGAGCACAGGTGGCTGAAATCAGACTTTATGGCTCTCTGTTGCGTTCTCACTCTCCCTTTCCGTTTCTCCCATGTGCTAACCTAACCGTCTCTCTTTCACTATAATGGATATCAGTGTGGCAGAATCTCCCCGGTGATCATGACTTCAGGACTAAAGCTGGTGTTGCTGCAGTCTCTTTGAAGAATGAAAAATGCTGTGGGCCAGATTTCATCCATCTAGAATAGACCCTCGAGTCAATGCTTCTATACAGACTTGGCTACAGCTACTCATTATAAGCTGATGTACGCCTGTCACCCATATGTTCGCATGACAAGGTGGACAATGCTGTTTCGAGATTCGGGTTAACTAAATAAACAGACCTTTTAAACACACATAGGAAAGGATGTGAATCAATCAAATTCACATTCAATTACTATGGTATTGTTAAACGTGTTGTTATATTTTCTGTGCATTTTTTTTTTGTCTAAAACAATTAATTTAATTTATTTTACAGTTTCCTTCCATCAAAATGTTTACTATCATTCCAATTAAATTTCAAAGTTAAAGTTAAACATCTCTGATGTAAAAAATTAATATATATATATATATATATATATATATATATATATATATATATATATATATACACAGACACACACACACAGTGGAACGAAATGTCGTACCTCGCAGGATAACCGGTGCTACATATTTAAAAATAAAATAAATAGAAAGAAAGAATTGAATAAAAAGTAAAAATGTAAACATAAACCTTCACAAAGCTAACCTACTGAAAGAAGTAATCTAACTATTAGCTATATATAATCTAACTACACATAAAAATACTAACTACATATACTTAAATCTACCTATGCAAATACAAAATCTAAAACTATACTTTGCATTAATAAGATATACCCTGGATATACTGTATGTGAACATAGATTTTGTCTTTCCTTTATAATAAAATCAAATAAAGTCAAAATACTAGTTTATTTTCACTGAAAATCAGGCAGATTTTCAAGACTTTTCCATAGAAAAAAGAACACTGTAAACATGTCTCTGTATGTGGTATTTGGCATTTAATTTCTATGACTTAACGTTTAAAGCACCATTGGTGATATGAACTTCCAAACAATTTGTCATGCAAACATTATGGACAACAGTTAATATTCTACAATATTATTGATCTACCTGCATTGACACCATTATGAGAACTGAACTGAGCTGGATGATGACATCCCTGTTTTCTCCAGACCGGCAATATATATACAGTATAAATGCAATAAAAATTACAACAAAAATTAACCATTACTGAACTTACTTAAACTGGACTATGACACTAATTCCCAAACTTTGTTGCATTATTTTCCTGTTATCACTGTAATATATCACCCTGTAGTATCACTTTGAAACAAACTGTATTGTAAAAGCGCCATATAAATAAAGATGACTTTAGTTGATGAATCAAGTTAATTTTCAAAAATCTATTCACAACCACACTCTATGATAAGCTACAAGTAAACTGTGAGAGGACGCTGTCATCTTACCATCACTTTGAGACGTTAGAACAACAGTCAGAAGTGCCAGCAGCTCCTGTCAATCTTCTGCTGGTTGTCCCTTCTCTTAAAACGCTCCACTCATTTCGCTTTGGCTCCAGTCGACCTTATTAGAGATAATAAAAACCTTCATTAGACTGAATTCCAGCACTTGTTATAATAAACACAAGCTGTCAGAAAACTAGCCTTTCAGAGGAGTCGAACAGCCCCTGTGTGGCAACACGGCTCAGTCTGCTTGTGCGTTAGAGAGAGTGAGAGGTCAAAGGTCAGCATTTGGAACAACCTGGGAGCACAAGTCTGTCTGTTTATTCGGAATTAGGTGCTACTTTCTCAAGCAAAGTGAAAAGCTTCCTTATGCCAAGTGTTTATCTACAACTTAAGAATATTAAACAAGCCTGCACAATATGTGAACGCAGAAGGTGTAATAAGAGCCTTACTTGTCCTTACTTAGGCTTATACTAGCTTGTACTGGTTGCAATAACCATTATCTCCTGTTAAGGAGGAACAATTTGATGGCATTTTAAAATGTCCAAACTATGCAAGAGTAGTTTAGAGTCAAATAAAACAGTATGATGTGAAATCAAAATATTGTTTCATGTCCTCAAAAGCAGTTTGCCATTGAAGCAGCTTTGCTATGCTGGCCCAGATGTTTCTGGCAGACTTTGATCAGTACTAAAATTGTTCATCCACAAAAACCATTGCATTCCAAGACTGCGCTTGAATAACAATGATGACACCAAAAGATAGACGTTGAGCGAGAGGGATAATTGTTGGAGAAAGCACTTCTGCACAAGTCTTTGAAGTGATATAGCACATTCTGGCATCAGTAATAGTCTTGAGGATTGAGGTCAACATTAGCATCTTTCATTCTTTCTTTGTTTCTGTCTTAATCTGCATGCCATCTACAATCATACTTCTCATTTTCCCTCTTAGACCTTCCCAGAGGAACATTTTATCACTCAAAGGCTGGTCTTTCACTGCTCAGAGTTCCCAGTTATGTTTAATTTAAGCATCGACTTCATTTCTGATGCTTCTCGGAGAGACACAACTAGAAATAAACGAGACAGTTTGACAAATTTGACAAGAAATTCAATCCCGAAAGATCTTTGCAAATCTGAGCACGGCAAAAAAAAAAAAAAATGCTTATTTCTCTATTTAATTTCATTGCTGGAGATATAATTGCGATGTTGAGGAGATTTCATGTTCTTTTGACCTTTTCTCTTTCTACCAACGAGGTTCTTGGACCCACCAGCATGATCATAAAGGGAGATGCCTATAAATAGATGTTAGGTTAATTTGATTTATACAGACATGGAAACATGCTGTGACCCTTTAAATTACAAACGGCTGCAAGCCAGGCCTGTTCGACACCTGTGAGCGTCTGTCCTATCCACGTTGTATTTTAATTGTCTGAATATTGTAATGCAATCATTCTCTGTAAGGGTAAATTGTGACATATGCTCTAAAGCAGTAGAAGAGGTTTCACTTTGTTTAAAGTAAATGAATAAATGGATATTTATAGCGAGGATGCATGAAATGTATAAAAAGGTACATAAATAATGTTACAAAAGATTTTGGTCACACTTTAGATTAGGGTCCAATTCTCACTTTTTGTCTCAATTAATTCCTAATTACTGCTTATTAATAGTTAGTGAGGTAGTTGTTAAATTTAGGTATTGGATAGGATTGAGAGATGCAGAATAAGGCATTAATATGTGCTTTAAAATTACCAATAAACAACCAATAGTAATGTGTATTCTAAGCATCTAATTAATAGTGAGAATTGGACCATAAACTAAAGTGTGAACACATTGATTTGTGATTATTTGACACTGAAGACTGGAGTAATGGCTGCTGAAAATTCAGCTTTGCCATCACAGGAATAAATTACAGTTTTCAAGTTTTTGCCATAACATTTTCAAGAATCGTGAAACGGTATGCTATTTATCATATGCAATATATGTTAAAACCATTAATACTGATATTTCTTGTGAATAAATTACAGTTTTCAAGTTTTTGCCATAACGTTTTCAAGAATCGTGGAACGGTATATGCTATTTATCATATGCAATATATGTTAAAACCATTAATACTGATATTTCTTGTGAATAAATTACAGTTTTCAAGTTTTTGCCATAACATTTTCAAGAATCGTGGAACGGTATATGCTATTTATCATATGCAATATATGTTAAAACCATTAATACTGATATTTCTTGTGAATAAATTACAGTTTTCAAGTTTTTGCCATAACATTTTCAAGAATCGTGGAACGGTATATGCTATTTATCATATGCAATATATGTTAAAACCATTAATACTGATATTTCTTGTGAATAAATTACAGTTTTCAAGTTTTTGCCATAACATTTTCAAGAATCGTGGAACGGTATACGCTATTTATCATATGCAATAGATGTTAAAACCATTAATACTGATATTTCTTGTGAATAAATTACAGTTTTCAAGTTTTTGCCATAACATTTTCAAGAATCGTGGAACGGTATACGCTATTTATCATATGCAATATATGTTAAAACCATTAAAACTGATATTTCTTGTGAACCCCAAAATCTATATTATTGCTAAGAAGTCAGTGATCTACAATGAAACAGGCCCTTGAATCGACAAAGCTTTTTAGCTGTCTGTGTGGTCCACATGGACACACATCACTGGTGTGTATGGGAAATCACTCTCCAAGGGCCTGCGTCTACTCTGTCTCTCTGGTCCCAGGGGACAGAGCTCCACACAAGATGGAGTCAGAAGAATTTTATGCATTTTTCATGCTCTGATTCAGCTTCTGCCTGCTGGACAAGGTCTGTCTGTCATCTGCATGTCTCTGTAGATTTATCCAGCACCAGGAATGCTCTTCTCATACTACTAAAGTTTGTATTTTTTTGCTTTTGCCCTGAGTGATGGCATCAGTCAATCCCAGAGATGTCCTCACCAGTTTAAAGTGACTGAAAAAGCCTCTTCACATTTTCCAGTTCCTCTAACTGCTCATCGAAACCTAAACATTAACTCTTGAAAATAAAGGTTTCAAAAGGAAGTGGTGCCATTGGAGAACTTGTTTTGGTTCCCCAAAGCACATTTCAGTGAACCGTTCATAAAAGATTATTATTATTCATTTATTTTTTTTTACCTGAACCTTTTTAGCTCATGTAACCACAATAGGTCATCTTAAGAAATCCTGCTGACTTCAATAAATTGATCCAAGCAAGTTTACAACAGTCCAATCAGAGAGCTAATTAAAAGGTTAGCATGGTGTTTGTGAAAAGGAAACAGGGAACCTTACATTTCTGTGGTTGAAAAGCGGAAGCCCTCCACAATGGCCCCTGAACCCTTCCTCCAAAGACGAGCTGGAATCCTCCAAGTATTGTGGGCAGGCTGTCTTCCAAACTGGCTTCTTAAAAGCTTTTCAAGAGGATGGGAGAATGAATGAATAACATTGATAGCGTGCACTGCTTTTTAAGAATCAGACTGAGAACGTGGCACGGTGCCTAAGCAAACCCTAAAGCGGTGTGCCCCATTTCAACGCATCCTGACACAATGCATCATGTAACAGAATGCCTTGTCTGAAGTCTAGAAAACAATAGCTTTCTTTGAGTATGATCAAACTCATTGTTGAAGAGCTTTCATTCCCAGTTGTATTGCCATGGCTGAAGGTGTACAGAGAGGTGATTCCCTCCTCATGTTGAAACTCTTTGCAATGAAACTGGAGACCACAAGCATCTGGCAGAGAGCTTTGGGTGTTCAAAAAAGAGTGCATGAGAGGTCTATGTCTATCCTTGCCTGTGTGACTCGAGTGGATTTTATTTTCAAGGGATTCAGCCGATATCAGAGGAAGCCCAAGTTTGGTAGGACTATTGTGAAGAGTAAGGGTGGATATCTGTTGACAGCACCATGTGAGAATCTCATCTGTGGCTCTGAGACACTTCATATTTAGGGTTCTGACAGCAAGAGTTCCCATGGAAATTCAAGAGAGGCCTCAGGGAAGACCTGTGTCAGATTCTCCACAGGACATTCACTGCTTCTTACATCTGTCTCCTGTTCAAAGAGAGCGCCTCAAAAACCTTAAGAATCATTACCATCTCTGCTACATGTTATGTAACCTTTTGAAGACTTACATACTGTGTATATTATAATTGGGCAAAGCAGCGTTTCATTAGCACCAAATCAGCATGTTAGAATGATTCCTGAAGGATCATGTGATACTGACGACAATGCTTTGCCATCACATTAATAACATTTTAAAATTTATTAAAATAGACAACAGCTTGCAGAATCTTGGGTTGCCTCTTTTTCTCCCAGTTTTGGACTTTTGTCCACACTAAGACGGCATTTTTTTTGGCTTTTTGAAAACACGTTTCCAAGTGGATAAAACGCTATTTTTGCATTGTAGTGTGGATTGTGAAAAAAGAGCTATTTGAAATGATGACACGTTTAGTCATGTGATGCATATTGAATCGATAGATATGTATGTTTATCTAACACAGTCTCATCCCAAAAAGTCATATAACTGACGTTTTGGGACGTATTTTGACCGTACCTCAATATCCGCCTTTTTAGGGCCCCCTTAAAGGGTTAGTTCACCCAAAAATGAAAATTAAGTCATTAATTACTCACCCCCATGCTGTACCAACCCCGTAAGACCTTCGTTCGTCTTCGGAACACAAATGAAGATATTTTTGATTAAATTTGAGAGCTGTATAACTACCACATTGGCTCCTAAAGGACTGCCTCTTGACGGCCCAGAAAGTCAATGAAGAAAATGTTTAAATATCCCAAGTGACTACCGTGGCTCAACTATATGTTTATCAAGCGACGCGAATACTTTTTGTGCGAAAAAACAAACAAAAATAACGAGTTTATTCGACTATTTCTTTTCTTCCTTGTAGGCCAGAACGAGACTTCCTTAGATTTCCACGACGCATGCGCGAGATTTGCGATCTGCTCACATCAGCTTACACCACTTCAGATCGCAATTCTCGCGCATGCGTCGTGGAAATCTAAGGAAGTCTCGTTCTGGCCTACAAGGAAGAAAAGAAATAGTCGAATAAACTCGTTATTTTTGTTTGTTTTTTCGCACAAAAAGTATTCGCGTCGCTTGATAAACATATAGTTGAGCCACGGTAGTCACTTGGGATATTTAAACATTTTCTTCATTGACTTTCTGGGCCGTCAAGAGGCAGTCCTTTAGGAGCCAATGTGGTAGTTATACAGCTCTCAAATTTAATCAAAAATATCTTTATTTGTGTTCCGAAGACGAACGAAGGTCTTACGGGGTTGGTACAGCATGGGGGTGAGTAATTAATGACTTAATTTTCATTTTTGGGTGAACTAACCCTTTAAACGTCGGTATATGGCGATCCCGGGCCGTCATAAAACTGACGCTTTACCTTTAACGTCAGTTAGGTGACTGGTTAGGTTTAGGGTTAGGTTTAGGTATGGGGTAGAGATAGGATCCCATAACCTCATCTACCGACGTTTAAGGGGGCCCTAAAAAGGCGAATATTGACGTATGGTCAAAAGACGTCCCAAAACGTCAGTTATATGACGTCTTGGGATGAGACCGGGTTGGTTTATCGCAACTGTGCCTGTTATGTGCTATTCACTTTCACACTGTTGCTAAAGTATGTTATTTTGTAAACTCTTCAATTTGATCTCCTGCGGCAAAACATGAGAGCAGTTGCATTTTAGACCAAACATATAAGACATATTAGATCTATCTGGATTAATGTAGACATAGGCCACGTTAACACAAAGCCGGGTATTTAGCGAAACGAATATTTTCCCCCTCTCCGTTTTCAAAAATAACATCGTTCACACACCCGCATAAATACGCCGTTGAGCGCCATCATATCTATGCCAAACCTACGGGGCTCTATGCACGGCGGTATTTCCGGTGAAGGTGTAAGGATGCTCGATAACTTCCGCCGATCTTAGAGTCCAATACAATACAGAGAATTTATATTGAATTTTATACTCCATGGCTATACTAAAGGAACGTTAGTCACAAAAACAGATAAAACAGACACCCCTCGTTGTGTTTATGCTTCTTTTTAAAATTATATTAAATAAACATAACTTTATATAAAATTACATCTAAACGTATGTACGTTTCGTTTCAAAGAGGGGAGGACAGTAAATTTTGAAGACTTTTCCTCCGCTTAAATTTCCACAACCGGAAATGGACGAGCATCCTTGCGACAAATGCGGAACTTATGAGTGCATATAGCCCATTGGCGGCAGTGTAGGGAGAAGGATAAAGCCATGCAAGCCAATCAAAATCCTCAGAATCGACAAGAGAGAACCTAAAACGCCGTTTCCCCCAGTTCACACGACAACACAACCAGCGTTTTCAGAAATCTCCACTTTGGCCGGAGTTTTTTAGAAATAATCGTTTTCTGTGATAAAAACGGGGTTTTCGTGTAAACGAGAGGCCAAAACGCAAGGTAATATCGGCGTTTTTCCTTCGTGTAAACGAAGCCATAGCCGTATTGTTTTTACTGTATTGTTGATCGAATACATTTTTGTTAAACATTAGATACTTCTTTCAAAACCAATAAAACAAAGAGACCACTTAGACATGTTGTGTTTTGGATGCTGCTATTGCGGTATCCTCGCCAGGTGGCTTAACTATCTCTCACTATCATGGTCAAACTGCTTCACTATTGAGTTTCAGTCAACCAGCTCAGCCGTGTTTTATTTTATTTTATGTGTGTGGGCTTAAATGAGAAACTTCATAGGCACTTGAATCCTTTTGTCTGTTCTCCAGCCTCTGAGGTCTATAATGAGAGAGAATAAACACGGCTTTACCGCCAGGGAGGATTTAAACAGACAAGCACAGGAGGAGAGCTTAACGGTTTCAAGGACAAGAGGTGTTTAATTTTTCAGCTGATAATCATCCACCCATTTAGCATATGTCATGCAGTCTGCTAATCATCAATCATCTTTTAATGAACTACACCACATTTCCTGCACTATTCAATCGTCATTTGTTTCAGAAAGCGTCTTTTATGATGGCCATCTCTTTATTGTTTTTGTGAACCATTATGTTAGCCTGTGTGCGTGCGTGCATATATATATGTGTGTATTGTGATTGTTTGCATGCAAACCCAAGGAGAACAGGCTTACCAAGAGTTAATTAGACATTGTGGTTTTCCGGTGTCCTCCAAGAGGACATCTTGTATCCCTAGCTCTCTCTGTTTACCAGAGAAGAATAAGCAAGTTGGCCTAAAAAAAAAACAAAAAAAACAACAACATGTTTATCTCTCACCTAATCCCAAAAACAATTAAGCATGACTGATTAATTACAGTGAGAGAGATGAGAGAAATCGGTTAAAAAAAAATTCCTTCGCCTCCATTCCATTAGCCATGTGCTGGCATTTTTCTCTGATTGTAATAAAAAGAAATGTTCACTGACCTTCTGATGTGTCCAAAGAACCGTATGGCACCATAGTAATCGTATCCATTTTATGGCGTCAAGACCCATGGAGGAGAAACAGAGGCTTTTAAAAACTGAAATCCCCCTCCTCTCTACGCCAACCCATATGGTGCTCCTATTTTATTTGCCTGTTCACTTCTTGATATATGACAGGTATTAAACATGACACCTGTGCTGAATGAGTAGTCCTCCATGGTGACGTTAAACGAAAGTTTAACCACATTTCGGTTTATTCCCCGTTGTTGTTTATAGCAAATTTGAGGCAGAGATTACCTTGAGGTTCAAGCCCACCCACGCAGAACAATATCTGCACATTAGTCACATCTTTCAGTCCAACCTAAACTCTGACCATCCAGCAACAATTATTAACAAAAACAAAGAATAACGAGCCTCAAATCTCTCAACAATACAAGAGATGTTCTTCTAAAGTAGGAAACTACAAATTGTGCATTTTCTAGTAAGAGTAGTGTTGTTTTTTTAGGAATGAATTAATATTCTGTATCGTTTAGTCAACAGAACAGACTATTATATATATATATATATTTTTTTTTTTTTCAGGTTTTGTGAAATGGCCATTTTTACACAAGTCAATTAATTCTCATCTTGCATATTTTTTCTTTTCTTTTTTACATTTGATTGAAAATTTTTCAGAATGAAAATGCATTCCAAATGCCATTGATGTTGAGTTTAAAAATTAAGATTTTGCTAGTCCAGATTGGATTGTGTTGGTTTTTGATCAAGTAAATAAGATAATAATTAAAACATATTTTGTTCTCTTGTCAAAATGATATTGCTCTATCTTTATAACTATTATACAGTTGAGAAAATCAAGACATCTAATGTGGGACAAGCTAAAATCACCACTTTAAGGGCGACAACGACATTACGTGGGTTTAAAACTAGCTACTTTTCATGCTAGGTTAATTTTATGTTCAGTAAATGTCTAACATATCTTAGGAACATAGGATTTGTGTCTTTATTCAATAAATCCCAGCATGTTGTGCAACATTATGTACAGAAACATGATAATGTGCTTTCAACATTGTCTTTCACTTTCATTCCACATAATACAAGTTTCCTGGCTGTTATACAACATACCTTCATTTACAGTATTGCTAAACCTTGAAAATCCCTCTTTGCATTTTGAAGAAGACGGAAACTCCACGGCTTTGTCTGGGCTTTTCGTTCTGCCTGTGAAGAGGATGAAAGGATTAATCAGAGTGCCACTTGTCTGTTTAATGTTAATGATTTATTGTCGACTTGCCCTTCAACTGACTGTAACTGACAGACAGATTTTGACAGGAAATTGCTTTTAGCTGACTGTCTGTCCTGTGTCCTCTCTGTGTCTGACCATCATTTTTCATTCTGTCCCCTCCGCAAATGAAAGTGGAAGACAAAGAGACCAGGAAAAAGGGAAATACTTCAGAAAATTATGGAATAAAGAAGAAATATGAGCTCCAGTTGAGGTAGCAGGAGAGAAATCAGGTTTCTGCAAAAGACCTTAAACAACTCTCATATTGAGATTTAGTTTTGCATCTTAATTATCACTAATTTGTTTTATTCTATTACACTTCAAAATCATCCGACATCATTGTTTTAGCTTTTTGTAAAGGCCTTTGACATCTTTGAACGTTCGCTTTGTAAACACTGGCTCTGTATTTCCATGTGACCTTTTCAACATGATTATGTAATGCGGGGTGCATTGCAGAGCAAGTGCAAGATGAGCATTTGTGGTTATATAAATGTACTTTTTTTTAGAAAATGGTTGATTGTTTCACTAGATAAGACCCTTATTCCTCGGCTGAGATCGCGTAGAGCCATATGAAGCTGCATTGAAAAAGCAATGTGGACTTTTAACCCAGTACCTCCCGTTGAAGTTCACATAATTGAGAAAAAACTGGATTGTTTTTCTCTAACACATTAATTTCTTTTCGACTGACGAAAGAAAGACATAAATATCTTGGATGACATGGTGGTGAGTTTATCAGGAAATTTTAATTCTGAAGTGAAATGAAAGCTTTAGCGTAAGGTCTGCCAAGAAGACTTAATCGTTCGTCACTTATACCTTAACATCTAACCAATCATGTTCTAATACTTGCAGTATAAAATATTGGTATTTACACGTCTGAGTTCACAGATGCTGACGCAAACAATTACCTCCATCATACCCAACACCAGCAGGGTGGCCCCTTCCCATACCTCCCGGCGGGTCGGCTGCGCCCCTGCCTTCGCCTTCAGGCAGGAAATGCAGATTCCACTGACGTCGGATTGCACGATACGGACAGGCCTACACCAAAGAACTTTATAAATATTTGCTTGCTGAGTTGTTAATAAATCTAATTATATGAAAATGAGAAATGTTGCCTTCTGAATGCATTGAAATTACTACTTGAAATAAATAAAAACAAACTCAACTAAACCTTGAACTAAAAAAATAATCAAAATAATATAAAAATAAATTAAATTAACAATTATAACAATTAAAATATAATATTAAAATAGCCAATGCAAAATATTAATAAAAACTATATTAGAACTATGTAAATATAATACTATAATAACAGCTCTGGTGATTATCGTTTGGTGGTCCGCATGGATAAGGCAGGTATGAATCACACATCACAAATACAAATAAATCCCCAGTTTCCTCAATGTTACAGTGCGTCTGTGTGAGAAATGAAAATGATCCAGAAGAGAAATATTTGTACAATGAATTTCATATTATGATCTGATAAGATTCACGTTTAGCAAAACAAATACTGAGTCCGATATTCTCTTTGGACACAGACTCTCACGAATCACAGGAAAGACAAAGTTCAAAGTGGAATTCTTTTTGGATCGCTTAATTAGCGGGATTCTCCCAAGAAACCCAATCAAAACAATGAGTCAGTCACCCTGCAACACATTTCTGTCCTTGAATAAATGTTAATTTGTGTTTACACAAAATGTTCTCAAACAAAACCCATCAGATCGGTGGGAATGGTCACATATACTCCCGATACCATCTCATATCAGTGATCTCAGAACGATATGGACTGGCGTTTTTTATGCGGCCCACTGGTCTTCTCCTTGCAAAAGTTAGGAGGATTTGTTCTCCGGGGTTCAAAAGCATTCCTGACAAGCCCAACTACAGATCCTCACATTTTCAAAGTATTAAAAACTCTAATGTTGCTCCAGCCGAAAAATAGATTTTCACAAACCTGATGGAAGTTTGAGAGTAAGTGCAAAGACTTGGCAGTCTTCCCTATACAGTACATTTCTCTACCCATCTCTATTTTGCCTTCTCTTTGTATAATGGCTTCACCCATTTCTGTCCACCGCCCTATGAATCATTCATTGTGCACTGTTCAGTTATGTTTCTAAGTCTGATATGGGTGTATTAGAGTCCATCTGCAGGAAGCCTGATGTAATCCTGTGGAATATAAGCATAAAAGTTACTGTGAATGAGAAATGTCAAACAACGTGAGTGCAGTTTGACAAAGCAAGAGTCACTGAGAGATGCCTGAAGGTCGTATCATTTCTGTCTAAGATGAAATGAGAAGTACTGGTGTTGTAAGAAGTCATAAAAAATCTGAAATATCTTTGCTGAAAAATACAATTGCTCAAAGGTTGCTCTTACGTCGCACAGGAGACTAAATTTATTGTTTCTTTAATGCATACATTTAGGCTCAAATGTGTGTCTCATGAAATTCTATAGGAGAAACATTATTAACATTTTAAACTTAAATGTAGTATTAACATTACCTGTACAACTTTCTTCATCTGTGGGAAAGGAAAATATTTTGTAGAATGTTTTTGTTCAAACAATGCAAATCAATGCATCCAAAACAGCATTGGGAACAAAATTAACAATATAGAATTATGGCATAATTAAAAAAAAAAATCTATAGATCTATCTATCTATCTATCTATCTATCTATCTATCTATCTATCTATCTATCTATCTATCTATCTATCTATCTATCTATCTATCTATCTATCTATCTATCTATCTATATATATATATATTCACATGAAATGTGTGTGAAAGTAGCAGTGTTTATATTTGAACTAAGTACTATTTCCACCAGTGTATTGTAGTATTTTATAAAATAGTGCAATAACATATTCAGTGTATATGATTATATTTATCAAAATCATAAATGGATATAATCTCATTGGGACATTACTTGTCTCTGTCCCTAAATCCACCCCTAAATTTACTCCTAACCTTACCTGAAATTACCCAGAATTCCAACTATTATGCACTTTATTTTCACTTTTCGAATATTTTCTAAATTTGTATCTTAAATTAAAGCCTCTCTGAGCTGATACGCAATGGGAAAAGGTTGAGGGATGAGTTTAAAAAAGGCTACCATGCATTGCACTCCATGCCACTGATCCTGTTATCAATGGGATTTCTTTTTTAATTTAGTCTGGCACAATATTGGTAGGTGGAGTTAGAGTAAATAGCATCTGCCAACAAGGCAGTAAATAGGCACTATATGTAATATGTACTATATGTATCTACTTTCGCATTCCATAGAAGAAAAAGTCATACAGGTTTGAATCAAAATGATGACAGACAGTTCTGAATGAACTATCCCTTTAAGAGTCTGTTGTATGTCCAAAAAGTTTTTTATAGAGCGCAAATGTCTTAGTTTCATGTCCATCCAAGAACATCTGACTAATACTGGTTTATTTCAAACAACACTTCTCACCATCATTCATGGATGGAAACCTGGTGCGTTCAGAACATCATTACGGCTAATAACCTTCATTTCCTGAGCAAGATTCATTATTTATTTGGATGTTTATCCATAGCTTACTATATTTTTACAGGTTGATAATTGGACCTAATTGGACAATTTCTATGATTTTGCTCAGGTGAAAGACGCCCGCCAGTGCACAGCTGGGAACGCAAACACTCAGAATCAACCTTTGAATAGCTTCACATAAACTGTCAGCATGTCACTGTTTATGACTGAGAAATTGCTTGTGAAACTGGAGGAATTTGTGTAAAATATAAGAATAATTTGCTTGAGTTTGGTGTGGCTTGGAAAATTTTCACTTGGCCTGACTGCGTTGTTGAGAAATGCATGTGACCAAAACGGACATGCATTCTACGAGCTCTAGAGATGAACGTTATTTAATTACTGTTTGATGAACTGAAACAAAGAACTTTGTGGCAAAACTGGTATTTTTTTTTTGCCATGTTTGCCCAGAAGCAAAGGATAGAAGGGCC